CAGAATTTCGAGTGTTACGGACGAGACCTTGAGGAAGGCGGTTTCTGCAACCGAACACTTTTTTTCGTTCATGACATTACGTGGTCACAAAGTCAAGGAAAGACCATCTGTTCCTCAGTGCGATTATGAGATGGAGAGGGTGAAGAGAATGACGACGGTTGAAAAAGCGAATCTGGTCGGTGAATTTTTTTGTTGGTTTGAGCGAGTGCCACCCGTACGAGTTTCATCTAACAAAGTGGTTGCCACAAATGGCGTTGAACGTGAGTATCAATAGTTCTGACATGAAGTAAAATTAATACATTTTCAGCCCGGGTGCAGGTTAAAGAGACCAACACGCTTATGACGACCATTCGGGGGTTGTTAGCGTTTTGGACTTATGTGGGAGTCATTGAGCCAAGCAGTGACCGATCGCCAACCGAAGAATCAAGATCTATTTGGAGGGTTGTCAGGTAGTATTTGTAGCTTCAAGCTTTTTGTTTAAATTCTGATGATGATCTCAGAAGCGTTGTAAAGGTGACGGAAAAAATGAAAGGCGGTCGTTTGGATATATCGAAAAGCTCACTCAGTTTTTCGGACACGATTCGACTAATGAAAAAATCAGACGGCGTCTCTTCAATGTTCGGCTTACAATCTTGGATTCTAGCGTTACTTTTAGGCGGACTCGGAGTTCGAATTGGATCAGTACGAAACTCATTCCCTCCAGTTTCCGGTAGAAAAGTATCTCGAATCTGACTTGAAGGCAAATTGCTTTTTCAGACGCCAAATCCACTGAGAAATCGCCACATCCAAGCAGTAGCCGTTCAAGTTTCGATGGTTTTGACGAAAGTGAAGTTGAAGATAAAGCTGACGATGATAATGATGACGACGATGTCCTTTTCGCTTTGACGGTTTGAAAGGCTCTGATTTGCGAGTTTGGAGGCGAAGAAAACGCGACGGTGATCCAGCTGGCTCTATTCGATTGAGAGCGTCCATTAACATCACCCATTCCAAGATGAACGGAACAGAAGTATTTTCTCCAAAATCGATTGGCTGCGAGTATCCCCTGGTATCTTCGGATAATGGTGAAGACTGGAGCCTGAACGTGGCAGTGGTTCTTGCCATGCTATCGTGCTTAGTTGGCACGACACGCGCAGAACAATATTTTTGCGACTACGGTGAACTGGCCGAATCTGGGGAAGAAATCGAGCTGACAGTGCGAAAGAGCGAATTGAAGTTAGTTTGGAATGTATGTACTCAACTATAACATCCTTCAGTGATACACCTCTGTTCCGAGAATCCAACAAATATCACAACTTGCTACCTGGTCAAATGCGTAATGTTCATAATGCTCTCTCTTTGGTGGCAAAATCACTCAAAATTCCACCGGCTCTGTTCTCGTCTCGAAGTTACAGGTATTCGAATCTGACTTCTAGTCAGATTGACAAAAAGTTTGTCGTTTTAGAAGTGGATATGCGAGAGATGTCATCCAAGGCATTGTGACACGAGGAGACCCACAGAGAGATATTCCATTGCAAGCATTACGATCAAACTTGCTCAGTGGAACTCAGTGGAAATCCGCTCAAGTGGACAGATACTTGAGGTAAGTATTTTTATGACTTGAAGTCAGAAACTTTTGAAAATTTAGCAATCTCTCACGAAGTCTTGCGCTGCACCCGGTTACATTTGCTCACACCACAGCCTTAGATTGGCAGAGTGCCATTTATGGCGAATGGCTTCAACCAAGAGCGATTTCGAAGAAGTGAATCCAACCAATGTCAATATCTACATTCGTTCGAAGTCCTCGGTATTGTTTTGTGGATTTTCAAAAATCCGACTTGAAGTCAATACTGGTAAACTTGCAGAAACCGGACGAATCCTTGGCTCGTTTGTCTTCGATGGATCCCGCCGAAATCATAACGTTATGTGATGAGATCAATATCGATAACTGGCGTAAATGTGCTCCGGTCCCTCTGACACACCAAGAAAGACGTGAATTTCTACAAAAGAATACCATGGTTGATGTGTTTTCAACTTTTCAATCGTTGAAGATGGTGATAGATCAAAACATGAGACCATTCTGTGGATATGGAGTTTCTTCACCCTACGCTTGCCCAGTTGTGAACTGTGGAAAGAGCGGTGCGCTACATTCACTGGCGAGCACACACGAACATTGGAAATTGTGGCACGAAGAGTCGAAAAAGAACCTGACCTACATGTGTATAAATGTTCTAACACAGGACCGTCGAAGTAAGCCTATCTAAAAACGAGTAGGTCACAACCCTGCTTTTTCAGCTTGAAGTCGTATTCGAGACATCTCAAAATTCGACACAAAATGGAACCGTTCAACTTCAATTTTTCTTTCATCTAATATGGTTTATCATTTTTGTTTTAAGTGCATTTTGTAGATATCAATGTAATTAATATCTTTTTGAAATCTGACTTCAAGTCAGTTCACGACTGTATGCATGTTTCTTTTCATATAAATTTTCTTCCTTTGACCCTTTCTATTGTATCCCTCAACTTTGTAATTCTTTTTAGATTTTATTAAGTCTTTTAAATATTTTCAATATCCTCAAATCTACTGATATTCAATCCGACTTCAAGTCAGATTGAACCCTTAACCTTTGTTGTGAACACTTCTCACCCACCCCCCGTAGTTTAATTTTTCGGACAAAACACCCGAATTAGGCAAAGGCCGCAGGCGGGGATACCGGTAAAAGTTCGGTCGGGGGGTGGTGAAGTAAAATAATAAATTTGAAAAATAATGCTGTGTGTTGTTTATTTTGAATGGCAATATCGGCTAGTCTTCCAAATTGAGTATTCAATTGTGACTCGAAGTCACATTTAGAGAAACGCTGCCAACAGCGGTGGATTACATTTAATCAATATTTCAGTTCAACTCGAAATTTCAGCTCAACTCAAATTTGTAGTTTGAATCAGATTTTGGTGCCACGTCAGTTATTAGTTAGATACGCGTTTTCGTGGTGAGACCCATCATACGGTAAAGGGGCGGAGACTTGCCATTTCTGCTCTGTTTCAGTCATTCGTGCCATTTGTCTTGCTGGGAGGAGGTCGTTTCTTTTTTTTGCTCCTCCACGCTATTCTCTTCACACCTCATTTATTTTCGTTTCGTGTACTCTCATTTTAGTTTGACTAAAACTGATTTCAGTTCAAGTCAAATTTTAGTTGCACCAAAATCTTAATCCCGATATTCAATCTGACTTCAAGTCAGATTGAACCCCACCCCCCCCCCCCCTTTACGTTGCTGAAATTTGCCTTCAAGTCAGATAATTTGCATAATTTTAGTGTTATGATATCCCACTGAAAGTCAGATTAAATCTCTTTTCAATATCCTCAAATCTACCTTCAAGCCAGATTTTGTAGATATCAATGTAATTAATTTTTTTTGAAATCTGACTTCAAGTCAGTTCACGACTGTATGCATGTTTCTTTTCATATGAAAAAAACTTTTCTAATAGGATTATATATTTTATATGACCTGATGTTTGGTTTCAATACACTTTGTTATATTTCTCTAGATTTTGTAGATTTTGCTTCGTGATTTGAACATTTTCGTTATATTCGAATATTCCAGCCGGCCATTCTATCTGCTTTATTATGGCAATTGACGGAATGGAATTTCAAGTCTCTTTCTTCCATTCTCAGCGCGAAGTTGACTTCCGTTGTCTTGCGAAAATAGGACAACTTCTGAAGCTTTTAGATGAGGAATGTTCTGGTTTCACTTTAACAGAAATAGGTTTATACGTAGAGAAACTCCCGGATGATATCGAAGAGTGGTCTCAGATTCAACAGGTGAGAAAAACAAAGTTATCAACTAACCAACTCAGCAAATTGCTACTATCTGCGATTAATGAGGGTTTTTATAGCCAATCAAATGTCGTCTGTCTCACAGCTCGAAATATGCTTTTGTCAGAGAAGGAGGAGCAGTCTATACAACAAGTGAATATGAACGCTGCAAGCAGATGAGAGTTAAGCCACCATTCCATACGGAATATGTCGTTGTTACCGCAGCTCTCGTCGTTTGCTACCAAACAAAAAACTCCAGATTTTTGACATATGTGAGTTGAACTCAAAACGGATGAAAAACATTCACATTTCTTTGACAGATTTTCGATACTATGAATCAAACAGTTGTGAAATTTGAAAGTGCGAAGTATACAAAAAACGTTGGCATTAAGGATTCGTTTGATTTGAACAGAGAAAGCAGTGACGTCGTAAGTTTATTCATTATTGGTCAGCTTAGATGGTTTTTATTTATTTTCAGACGGGAGAGTGTAGCAAAGAAAAAGTGACACTGATTGAAGCTCCAAGTCAGGACGATAGTTTTGACACTTTCAATAATCATTCATCGCATCCGAAGAGTACAGAGAATTTAGACAAACAGAGCGATGACAGCTTCGATGAGTGGTGTGCAGCTACTTCTATTCAAGTTGCAAATCGAGACGTTTGTCATACGTTCCAATCAGAACCCAACTCTGGAAACATGCCGAATCTGGAAATACCGCAGGCTTCGGATGAAAGTGATGATAGTTTCGAACAATTTTGTCTTAGGCACTGAAAGTTTCGATATTTCTTTAGTCATTTTTTAAAAATACAGAAGCTAATTTAAATTTTGAGTACCGCAACTGAATCTGTTTTGTGTTTTTAATTAATTTGTTTCTGCGATTAAAGCTATTCTCATCACACGGATTGTGGTTTTGCTATCGTTCCAAATTGAGTATTCAATTTTGACTTGAAGTCACATTTAGAGAGACGCTGCCAACAGCGGTGGATTACATTTGATCAATATTTCAGTTCAATCCAAAATTTAAGCTCTCTTTTCAGTCATTCGTGCCATTTGTCTTGATGGGAGGAGGTCGTTTCTTTTTTTTTTTTGCTCCACCGCACCATTCATGCACTTTCACACCATTCATATCATCAAAATCAGACTTGAAGTCAGATTGAAGTCAGATTACCAAGATTTGACTTGAAGTCAGATTCTGAAGAATTGGCTTCGAGTAAAATTTCGGAAATCTGACTTGACCGACGGCCAGAAACGATAAACTTTGTAATGTTTGGCCAACGCCCAAAAACCCCTGAACGAGACAACCCCATGGGAAAGGGACTGAAGCGGAATGAAAGACGCAAAGACGCAACCTCCCGGGAGGCGTCCCCCTTTTTCGCGCATATTATAAACGCAAAACCCCGCCCGCCTCCGGCGGGGCAGCCGGGCCGAGGGGGGAAAAGAGAGGGCCAAGGAACAGGAGGGCAGGCAAATGCGTAGGTTCGACTCCGGCGGGAGTGTATTTACCTGTGTAGGCTTCCCGCTTAGGCTTAGGCTTCCCGCTTAGGCTTAGGCTTCCCGCTTAGGCTTAGGCTTCCCGCTTAGGCTTAGGCTTCCCGCTTAGGCTTAGGCTTCCCGCTTAGGCTTAGGCTTCCCGCTTAGGCTTAGGCTTCCCGCTTAGGCTTAGGCTTCCCGCTTAGGCTTAGGCTTCCCGCTTAGGCTTAGGCTTCCCGCTTAGGCTTAGGCTTCCCGCTTAGGCTTAGGCTTCCCGCTTAGGCTTAGGCTTCCCGCTTAGGCTTAGGCTTCCCGCTTAGGCTTAGGCTTCCCGCTTAGGCTTAGGCTTCCCGCTTAGGCTTAGGCTTCCCGCTTAGGCTTAGGCTTCCCGCTTAGGCTTAGGCTTCCCGCTTAGGCTTAGGCTTCCCGCTTAGGCTTAGGCTTCCCGCTTAGGCTTAGGCTTCCCGCTTAGGCTTAGGCTTCCCGCTTAGGCTTAGGCTTCCCGCTTAGGCTTAGGCTTCCCGCTTAGGCTTAGGCTTCCCGCTTAGGCTTAGGCTTCCCGCTTAGGCTTAGGCTTCCCGCTTAGGCTTAGGCTTCCCGCTTAGGCTTAGG